AGTATGGAATGTTGGCAGGGTCTAGAGAATGCTCTTAGTGAGAGGCATCTATTAACATTGGGGTGGTGGAGGTATGGAAAGATTTTTTTTAAAACATTTTTATTTTTATTTTGGCTCACTAGTCCAAATTCTTGAGAAAAGGATATTATTTGTCAGCAAGGACATGCCCAAGTTTCAGGAACTATGGGTTGAAGTTAAAGGATCTGTAAATTATTTCATTCAGCAATCTTCGCAAATAGGTCCTGACTGCCTACTGTGTGCTAGCCAGTACTACTCACTGAAGACACAGCCTGAGCAATTTATACTGGGCCCCAGGCCACATGGGACTTTGGTCAATTACACCAATAGCATTAGTAACCATTTTCTTAGCAGTTGCTGTCAGCCTCTGTGCTAACTGCTTATCATCTTTTATCATCTTATCAACATTTATCTCTTCCTTTAATCATCAAAACAGTTCAGTGTTAGCATATCTATTTTACAGAATACAAAGCTAAGATAAAGGGATGCTGAATAATCTGCCCAACACTGTACTTCAGGATTCAGACTCCAGTTCCTTTGCTCTCAGGTTTGCTCTTGGCCACTCAGCCTCCCTAGATCACTCCTCCCCACAGTGACCTGGAGTCTGGCTCACCTCCCCGGTGCCTGGGAAGGTGCTGGTTCAGTGTCCTTCCTGCCCCAGAAAGAGCAGTTTGCCTTTTTAATGCAATTGCTACCCATTTCCGAGTAGAGTAAAAAAATCAGTCTGATAAGACAGCTCTAATTTTTCTCTTTCATTCTCTCCCAAATGTTTCATACTTTCTGCACAGGGAGGGCCCTTGCAGCTCTGAGAGCAGATTTGGGAACATGCTGGATGGGTCCCCTCCAGTCAGATATGACAGCATCAGCCTGGATGTGTCGTTATAGATGGATGTGTGTGCTTTAGGGAATAAGTGATTTGTATTTGAGAGAAATCACTCAGTGGCAAGTGACAGGAACTCCTCCATCAATGTGCTCAAAGTGGTTCAATATTTTAGGGACATAAAGGCAAATAAGGGGGCAGAAAGGGGATAATTTAGAGCCTTCTGTCACTGTTTAGGAATGGATTAACCACTCAAAATTGTGTTCTAATGTTAAAGATATTGAAAATGTAAGAAATACTCAGAAATCCAAGTCCCATTGAGAAGAAAAAAATTGGGATTCTGATGATTAATTCCCATAATATTAAAAATAATAAAATAAGACCTTTGCTATATTTACATATCAACAGATTAATGACAGAGATTTTCTTTCACAGGCCTACCAAGGGGCCCCAGAGGCACCTGGTGGGGAATTTGCCCACATAGCAGGGTGCAAAAGTCAGAGATCTGAAAATGATGGCCATGGATGGCTATCTACTTCCATGTCTTCATTTTCCCCTGCCTTCTTCCACTTATTCCTCTTAAAGACTTGTTATATATTTGTGTGGGTCGTGCTTTTATTTCCCTCTCCATGTTGATGACAGCAATTAAGAAGCCTTGTTGCTATTTCGCATCACTTCTCAGTTTCTGCCTTTCCCCAAATTCTTGGGTTACTTTTTCCTTATGATAGTCCTGTGTGTGCTCACTCCTTCCCCCACCACACATGCACACCTGGGAGATAATAGAGTGTATAACTGCTGATATGCACAATGAACCACGATTGATTGATTTATTTATTAAGTGAAGGAAATGCTTTAGAGGTTAAACACCTAAACTGAAGGGACATGTACACGCCAAACTGTAAATGTGATCTAATTAGAAAGCAGTTTATGAAATAAAGTCCCTGACTTGTGTAGGTGATTTTTGTTTTCTAATTTAAATTTATTTGAGCAGTTAATACATTCATGGTTTTTAAAATTATATGATTCAAAGAACTCATAACTGAAAAGTCTTATTCCCACTCCTCTTCCAGACCCTACCCCTATCCCTGCTTCCTACAGGTACTCAGTTTTACTCTTTAAATATTAAAATATATTTTTATTGATTTCAGAGAGGGAGGGAGAGGGAGAGAGAGAGATAGACATATTAATGAGAAAGGGAATCATCGGTCAGCTATCTCCTGAACGTCCTCCATTGGGGACTGAGCCTGTAACACAGGCATGTGCCCTGACCAGGAATCTAACCTGAGGCTCCTGGTTCATAGGTTGACACTCAACCACTGAGCCATACCAACTGGGCAGTTTTAGTTTTATTATGAGACTTCCCAGGGTGTCTTTATAAAAAAATAAACAAATGAGGATATATAGTTATTTCACAAAAGTCAGTGTAATAAATACTACCGAACACAAATTGCTTTACAACTTGCTCTTTTCCTCACTTACTATATCCTGGAGGCCTTTTCATGTTAGTGTCTCCACAGCTTCCATGTTTGGAGGGTTGAGGTTGCTGCATGGTATTCCAGTGTAAGGATACCTTGGTAGACTTGATGAATCACTGACTGATAGATTTTTTGTTGTTGTTGTTTCCAGTCTTTTGCCATTAGAATAATGCAACACTGGCCTATATAATCATGTTCAGCTATGGCTGTCTTGAAAATTTTTCAAAAGTCAGATTTCTGGGTCAAAGAGAGGTGCAATTGTAATGTTGAGTGACCATCCCTTTCATAAGGGTTGTACTTTTTCACTCCCATCAACATTATTGAGAATGATTCTTTCCCCACACTTAGGCTGATAGAGTGTGGTTTCAGACATTTGGAATTTGGCCAAAATGGCATCTCAGTGTAGTTTACTTCCCTTTCTTCTCATTGTGAATGGAGTTAAGAATATTTTCTTATGTTTACTGACCACTATTTTCCTTTTTCTGTAAACTGTATTTTTGTGCCCTTGGTCATTTTTTTACAAATTTGTTTGTTTTCCCCTAGCTGTCATCTGTGATATAAGTTGCAAATATATCTTACCAGTTACTCATTCATTTTGTTGTCTTTATTTCATTTGATTTCATTTCACTTTTCCTCTTTCTTTTTTTTTTCTTTTAGAAAGTTGGTAAGTGCAAGGTAGCCCTGCTTTGCATAGCATTGTGGAACTGTAAACATTACCATGCAGAGTCTTAGTCAGTGGGGAAATCACAGTGATTTCATGAGTTTACACATTTTATCAACACATTGGAAACTCCTTTACTGTCATAAATGTATTCAGACATGAAAAAATAAGAAAACTAACAATATATTTAGTCCATTTGGCATTAGAAACATTTAATTTCTTTCTTAAAATCTTGTCTAAAGTAGTTTGAAAAAATGCTTGCACCTTCTTGGTGTTGTATACCTTCTTTGTGTTGTATACCTTGCTACACAGTAAGCATCTTTCCTATGCATTGGTGACATACTTTGAGGAGTATTTTATTATTTGCTTTTCAGTGTCATGAAATATCTCAAAAAGTTCTTGTAATGTGAGATTTTTGGCTGGCATACCTCTTCTGGGCCACCTTCATCCCTTTTGTCATAACCACTTTCCTCATTTATTTAGATCAAGTTCACCTTCACTCTGGCTGCATTTGCCTCTCACATGGGGGCAATATCAACATTCCCATGGTCAATTATTGCTTCTCTAAATCTATTTACATTGAATTCAAACTTCACTCCCACTGTTACCATTTTTAGTTTTTTTCTATATTTTTACCATTTTTGGCCAATTCCCTCTTAATTATCCTTTGTAAAATATCACATGGGCATATCACTGGGAGACAAGGAACAGAGGACACACTTTGTGGTCTGTACATGAACTGAATAACAAATGTGCATGATCAGTCACCATTACACTTGGAGATGATTGATCATTGATCATGGTGAACATCAGTTATTCTCATAGAGGTATCTGACCTGAAGAGCTAGCCTCAGAGTTTATACTTTATGCCACTGCTCACAGTTAAAACACTGTTAACTGGCATGTGAGTCTTTGTTTTGGAGGACAGGCATTAACTAAACTGTAGTAACTTAAATTTGTAGATACCAGAAACATGTAAAGCAGGAACTGACAGTATGGAAAAGTACAAAGAGAAATATGACAAACAACTGCACACTCTTCTCCTAGCTTTGGCAGTTACTAACAATACTTTATATATGCTTTAAGTATTTTAGTAAAGGAAATAGATCATTACAAATAAGGCTGAAATCCTTCTTTGTTCCCACCTCCGATCCTGTTCACTTTGTAATCTCCTAACTCACGTATCATCACCTCTCTCTCTCTCTCTCTCTCTCTCTCTCTCTCTCTCTCTCTCTCTCTCTCTCTCTCTTTCTCTCTCTCTCACACACACACACACACATACACACTCACATACACACATTTCTATCTACACATATAAAAATCTCAATGAGAAATATGTAGTGTTTGGAGTGTACTTCTAAATTTGCATCATAATTATTTTTCTTTGTGCCTTCCTTTGCTTCTTATAGTCTTATTTACTTCTTGAATTAATAAAAATATTCTGTGCATCTCTTTTTAAAAAAAATATATTTTATTGATTTTGTACAGAGAGGAAGGGAGAGAGATAGAGAGTTAGAAACATCGATGAGAGAGAATCACCGATCAGCTGCCTCTTGCAGACCCCCTACTGGGGATCTGCCCGCAGCCAAGGTACATGTCCTTGACCGGAATCGAACCCGGGCCCTTCAGTCCCCAAGCCGACGCTCTATCCATTGAGCCAAACTGGTCCCGGCAATGTGCATCTCTTTTTTTTTCACCCCAGTTTAGAAGTCATTTTCTATTTCATCCTATTTCTATTTAATTAGTGAAATAACATTTTAAAAGATGGATAGTTATATAGAGAAAGATGAGATATATGTACATATTAAAGCCTATGTATGTGTGTGTGCATATGACTATGATAGAGTGATGACCTGTTCTTGTTAAGAATTCTGGGAATTTAAAAAAAAATAATAATAATTCTGGGAATTTCCCTGATTCCTTCCATGAAAATATCCAAAGTCCAGAAATACCCATGTGAGTTCTGTCATATTTCTGTAACTATCTTTCTGATACATTAAACAACCATTTACTTTTTGGCTTCCAGGTTTATTCAGGAAATTGAGCATGCCTTGGGACTTGGGCCAGCCAAACAGTGTCCTCTTCGAGACTTTCTCACTGTGTACATCAAAAACATCTTTCTCAACCAAGTCTTGGCTGAGATCAACAAGGAGATTGAAGGAGTCACGAAAACATCTGACCCCTTGAAGATCCTGGCCAACGCGGACACCATGAAGGTGCTGGGGGTGCAGCGCCCTCTGCTGCAGGTAATGATATGCTTTGAACTTAATGTTTGTCAACAGTTCTCATGGCCTTCAGGAGAGTCTCAACTTAAAGAAGAATTGCCATCTGTTTTTATATTCACCAGGGACTAAACAAGAGGAAATAAATTAAATAGGCAATAAGGACCTTTACGACTAATATAGAGATAATGGAAATTCCATAAGATTTTTAAGAAAAATGTGGATAGCTTTAATATGGTAAAACATACATCTTATTAACATGCAGTCAAGGCCTCCTTATTTGTCTGGAATTTGCCCTTGATGGTACTTACAGGAAGGAAATCACCCTGTCTAACAGATGCCACCGAAACCCCCTGTACCCATCCATAGGAGGGCAGAAGCTGCTAAGCACTTGGCCAGCTCACAGTGAATTTGAACCTACCAGCAAACTGGCTTTTCAAAGTCATATCATTTCCTTTAAGAGACGGTCTTGTTAATATTGAAACTTCTACTTTAACTATATAAAGAAATGGTTTCTGGGCAGCAGACATAAAATAATTTCTCAGTAGCTATGTGGATTCATAGACTTGGGGTATTTATTTTGTATCCATTTTATCCAGGGACATAAAGACAAATATAAAACTAAAAGAAAATAGTACGAGTTTAAATTACGGCTATGCATTGATTGCTGTTACACTTGTAATTGAAATTGAATCTTGCTGGCGTTTTTCACTTATGAGAGAAAAATGTTTCTTCATTTCTTACACATGTTGCATGATATGAGGATATCTCTAAATGTGGAAGGCTCTCGCTCTTCAAAGAGAAGTTATACCAGTGGAAGGAAGCTACAGTTGCTTTAATGGCTGTCCTTGCCCACCTTTGTGTAGAGCTTTCTTGATTTTTCCTTTGTGCACATTAGAATTGATAGCAATGCTGAGCCTTTCCTAGGCCGCGTCCTAGATAGAAGCATTCTCTTTTTATAACGGTGTTGAGAAAATTGAGTAGCGACATTTGCTTTTCCCAGAACTTGAGTTATAGCATCAGACCGAAGAGTGGGTTCATTCAGATGTTTGGGGTCTGTGTGAGATGGTTCCTGGTGAGGGATGTGTACTGAGCCTGGCCCAGAGAAGGGAGGACCACAGAGTTTGGATGACTCTTCTACTGGCTCTGTGCAGGGCTGGGACCTTCTCCTTGAGTCTCAGTTCAAATGTCACCTCCAAGGAGAAGCTTTTCCTGACTGTCCCACCTAAGTAGGTCCCTTCTCTGGTTATTCTGCATTCTCCCCTCCTCCATTCATGTCCCCAATCCATTCGCAGCACTGAAGTCAAACTCTGTGGGTATCTCCAAAGCTCCCTTGCCAGGGGACTCAGGATCAGGTTGTACCGATAGGAAGCACTAGCAGCAGGTAGGAGGCTGAGAGGAGAAGGAGTTGGGTTATTTCTTATCTCCTTCCTCTCCATGTTGGATCATGGTGCTGGCTGTGGGTATATCCCTCAGCAACAGTCCTGCCCAGTGACACTTCCTCCAGAGCTGCCACTCTCAGTGGACTCCGGCTACTCCTTTCTTCTCCTTCCCCTTGATTGCAGCTCTCTGCCATTGCTAGTTTCTGGTACCAAGACAGCTCTTGTTGTTTCTGTCAGTGCTGTCCACACCCCTGGCAGTATCTCCTCTTTAATATTTCTTCATTTGAATCATCTGAATGGAATTCTCTTTGTTGTCAGGATCCCAAATAGATTTCCCCAGCTAGTCACTATTTTAACACTTTGATTGTTTTCCCCTACTTAACACTACAACTATAATTATTATTTCATTTATTTTATAACTTGTCGATTTTTTTGTCTTTTCCAACTAGAATGCAAGTTCTGAAAGCCTAACACAGTACCAGGTAGCAAGAATGCACTCAATAAATAATTTACTGAATGAATGCATACAAGCATGGATAGATGGAGGGAGGAGAGGTGGATAGACACAGAGAATAAGTTTTGAGATTCATAAATAATTGCAAAGTTGGGGGAAAAGATACGAAATAGAGACTGATACAGACTTGTTTATATTTTTTGTTGTTGTTTGATATTAACTCCCTCTCTATCAGGACACCTCTCAGCATCTGTGTCCCAACAGTGCCATGCTCTCTGCTGCACAGAGCACCTTCAGTGTGCTTGGCGTACTGAACATACATGATTCCCAGCAAGGGCCACATAGTGAGTCTGTGAACTAAAGATTCTGGCTTATTAAATGTTACTGTTTTCAGCTTGAGTGGCAAAGACACATTCAAATCATAACTAATTGACTGCTATCTGGGCCATGTCAGGGCCACACCTAAATTACATTTCTGGGCAGTCTCCCATGTGCTTGTCAAATCCCGCCCAACCTCATCACCAGCCCTTGCACATGTGGCTATGCCTCTTGAATGTTGTGGGTTTTCCTCTCTTTCTTTAAATCAGTAACTCCATTCATTCTGAGGCCAGGTCAGAACTCCAACTTGATCTGTTCTCTCTTTGACCTAGTCACAATGTGGTAATTTCGTGTGAGTGGGTGAGTCTTGAAACTAGGCCATTCACATTAGTAATCTCCAAATTTGTTTTTTACAGCCAAACAGCTTTCTTATTTGGTTGTTTTGTTGCCCTCTCTTTCTTCATAAAATTTTTATTTTATGAGAATGCAAAATCATTAGACCATATCAATAAATTTGTTTCATAGTCTCAGACTTAGGCTATTTAAGAAGGACATGGAGTGATGGTTATTTTCCTTTTGGATCTTAAGCTTTTGTCTTGCTTTAAAATGACTGTAAATTGTTTTCTAACAAAATTTCCCAAGCTCAAGTTTCAATATTTCTCAAATGGGTTTCTATGTCACCTGGATATTGTGATCTCCAGCCAATTGTAGGTGACGAATCTGAAGAAAAAATAAGAAATAATTCCGAAAATTTTAAACTGAGTTTTCAAAACAGCTGTCAAGAAGGGATCTAGGGGAAATCTGTGCATGTGTGAAAAAATGCAGGTGGGTGAAGCATTCAATGACATGAAGTTTTAAAATGTCCTTCAAAGTCGCTCCCTCTATTAGACTGTTGTTTGGTTGCCTAGCGTCAGGCAGCACCAGCTCAGCTGGGTCTCGGGGTGCCTGGAGGACAGCTTCCCAGGGCTGCTGTCACCAGTGATGAGGTGCAAGGACCCTGGACACTGCCCTTCCCTCTGGAATGGCATCTCAGTACCACAGAGAGTCCATTGTAGGGGCAGTTTCCATGGGCGATGGTGTGCCTTCACATGGTGATTTCACTTTCTTGGCACCGAATTCATAGAAGGGAAGGAAGCAATAGAAGGGACGAGATTATAAGCACCACTTTATAGGTGAAACAACTGTTCAAGTGTTGGCCCAGAATGATGCACAGTACCATCAGTAATAGAAGCAGTAATAAGAGTAATAGTTGTAGACAGTAGTAATGATCACAGCTAACACTTGAATAGCAATTACTGTGAGCCAGACACTATTCGGAGGGCTTTATGTTTTTACTTGTGTTTTCTGTGTATGAGCAACAGCTTTGTGGGGAGGAAACTGAGAAACAATGGAATTCAATAGCTTGCCCTTGGTCACATAGCTAGCAAGTGCCAGGACTGTAATGCAAATCCAGGCACCTAACCCTGGAGACCTCGCTCAGAATGAGTTCTCCCAAAACTGAGCCTGGAGCAAGCTTGTCTGCCAGCTGTTGGCTCCCCATGTGCCCGAGACCACAGAACTGAAAATAAGCCTTTAGAACCCCACCCTTAAAGCAGTTATCACTGTCTGTTGACTCTTAAAATAAAAATTGGGACTTGTGTTTTGTATATCTTTGTGTGGTGTGTGTTTTTAATTTCTTTTTTTTAATAAATTATTTCTATTTATTTTATAGAAATATCAGTTTACAGCAGATGGGGGCTGGGCTCTCACGATAGTTAGGGTCACAATGCTCTAAACCCCTTTTTCCTATATTGTCTCACAGAGAAGAGAAAGCATAGAAGCAGCCATCTCTGGCCTTTGTGCCCAAAGTGAGGCTCAGATATTAGTTGCAGGTGATTCTCTCCTAAATTCCCAGCTCTAGAACAGTGTCTGCTACCAAGATGCTCACTATAGAATTAATGCATGAGTGAGTGACAAGGAATGAATTAATAGAGGCTTCCTTGGGACAAGGACATGTGTGTGCATGCTTTCTCCTCGTGGTGTAAGATTTGTGGTCTCGGGTTGGAGATTATTGTCAATGCTTACATTAAAATGTCAGTGTTCTCAAGCCTCAGATGCTATCTGTCTGAAGGCAGGATTGAATATACCTCATGCTCTCACCTTCTGAGATTCCACTTTTTAAAAAATGGCTTTCACATGGTGCATGGCAAAGCCCGATGCTTCCAAATGAGGAAATCTCTTAAGAGGCATTCCTCATTTCTAGTGAGTCAGAGCCCCTAGCCTTCAGACATGGAGCTATAGAAACAGTCAATTGAAGTGAATGCCCTCTCATGCCTTATCTGTCTATGAGTCTACAAATGGCTCACCCCTGAGACCCAGGGAACAGCCACTCAGTTCCCTATTTGCTATTGGTTTGGAGGCGTCATTTAATTTATTACTTCCTTAGTCTCTCCATCCAAAAAAGGGCCAGGGCATTCATGCTTAAGGTTTTTACCGTTTACCTGTCACAATGCTGCATGGGCATCTGAATGCTTGAACAAAAGTATGAGTTTTCTCCATCCCCCCTGATGGAATATGCTTTACCATTGCTACCTAGAGGGGGTCTGTGGACAAGAATGTCAAACCTCTGAGACGGAATCTGCATGTGTATGGCCTCACCGGAGTATTTGCATGCATGTTAGAGTTGAAGAGTGGCTGTGGCAGGGTAGCACCAAGTGTGGTCCAGGGACTGTCAACATCAGCATCACCCCAGCCGGGAGAGATGCAAGTCCACCTCACTCCATTCTGGGCTGGTGTCCAGAAAGCCTTGCTCTAACCAGCCTCCTAGGTGACTTTGATGGAGAGTAAAGTTCTAGAAGCCTTGTCTTATATAATATCCTCACACCCAGCTG